AGACAGTGATTGTGTGTGAATGATGGTGAAAGTGTTTCTCTTTTGGGTTACGCTGCCTCGGTGGAAGACGGCCGGCGTGTTGAAAAAAAAAAACTAAATTATCTTTATCATACAAACGAGGGTAGAAAAGAAGACTTTAGTACATTACACATATATCCTGTACATCGGAGACTGAAACTTATGACGATGTTTCGGTCTGACTCGGACCATTAAGTAGTCACAGTGACCGATACGTCGTCATAAGTTTGTTTCCTACGTGCAGGTTATTTGTGTATTGTGCTTCTGACCGGCTTACTTTCCACTGTTGCCCTGCAATCCTCTCCCCCAGGATGCGACTCGGGTCACACCACTCAGCCAACACCCACTGCTAGGTGAACAGTGGCACCAGGTGCAATGATATATGCTCAACGTTTTCACTCGTGCAAGATTCGAACCCAGCACCGTCAGTGTGTGAACTCAGGTCGCTACCAAATGAGCCAAGAGCACCTGTATTATCTTATCTTAGGCTTTATTACAATGTACTGATGACTTTTTAAAAGCTGTGTGTAAAGCGTGGTAAGCCAATAGATGTTTAACCAGAGAACTGGTCACTGTGTTATCTCGACCCAGCAGCATGATGTACTCTCGCTACTGTGCTCCGTAGCTCGATTGCTAGCTCATTCAACTCACGCACTGAGGTCCAGTGGTCGATCCCCGGTACGGGTGAAAATAGGATGTGTTTCCTTAAGGCACTTACTGTTCATGGTCATCTATCAGTAAAATAGGTACCTGGATGTTAGTCGACTTGTGTGAGTCGCATCCTGGGAACAAAATTTACCTAATTTGTCCGAAATGCTTTGCATAACAAGGGGCTTTCTATATAGTAGTATGTCACTGTTGTCAGCTAGGACTGTATACCTGGTACATGTACTTGTAAAAATAAATATTATAGTAAGTTTATTTAGGTACAGGTAAGCACAAGTACAGTTAAACAAATTTAGGTGACTACAATTATCATACAGAGTAACGTGTGTAAATTACATAGGATTAACCCCCTCCCCCCAAAAAACAGCAAAAAACAGACGAAGTGACTTATTTCCATCGGGGTCCTTGTAATATCTTATAACTGTAATATCATATTATTATTTAGTACGTGTTAAGTTTGCACAAAGGGGAACCTTTATAGTAACTGTCACCAGCGTTTAAGACTTAAATATGTATGCAAGTAATTAAGTACGTTATATTAAATGATCATTATTAGATTTATATAGATTTAAACACTGATTTAATTGTGATCAAAACATTCTCCAGTTATTTCAAAGAAACCAATTTGATAAATAATACTGGTTTGGTAATAGAGTTGTGGATGAGTGGAACTCCCGAGTGCCCTCATAGAAGCTAAGACGTTGTGTAGTTTTATAAATAGGTTGGATAAATACACGAGTGGGTGTGGGTGATGTCAGCCACAGCACCGTGTCTTCCTTTGCAGATGACACCCGAATCTGCATGACAGTGTCTTCCATTGCAGACACTGCAAGGCTCCAGGCGGACATCAACCAAATCTTTCAATGGGCTGCAGAAAACAATATGAAGTTCAACGATGAGAAATTTCAATTACTCCGATATGGTAAACATAAGGAAATTAAAACTTCATCAGAGTACAAAACAATTCCTTCCACAAAATAGAGCGAAAAACCAACGTCAAAGACCTGGGAGTGATCATGTCGGAGGATCTCACCTTCAAGGACCATAACATTGTATCAATCGCATCTGCCAGAAAAATGACAGGATGGATAATGAGAACCTTCAAATCTAGGGAGGCCAAGCCCATGATGACACTCTTCAGGTCGCTTGTTCTATCTAGGCTGGAATATTGCTGCACACTAACAGCACCTTTCAAGGCAGGTGAAATTGCTGACCTAGAAAATGTACAGAGAACCTTCACGGCGCGCATAACGGAGATAAAACACCTCAGTTACTGGGAGCGCTTGAAGTTCCTGAACCTGTACTCCCTGGAACGCAGGTGGGAGAGATACATGATTATATACACCTGGAAAATCCTAGAGGGGCTAGTACCGAACTTGTACACGAAAATCACTCACAACGAAAGCAAAAGACTTGGCAGACGATGCAACATCCCCCCAATGAAAAGCAGGGGTGTCACTAGCACGTTAAGAGACAACACAATAAGTGTCAGGAGCCCGAGACTGTTCAACTGCCTCCCAGCATACATAAGGGGGATTACCAATAAACCCCTGGCAGTCTTCAAGCTGGCACTGGACAAGCACCTAAAGTCGGTACCTGACCAGCCGGGCTGTGGCTCGTGCGCTGGATTGCGTGCAGCCAGCAGCAACAGCCTGGTTGATCAGGCACTGATCCACCAGGAGGCCTGGTCACAGACCGGGCCGCGGGGGCGTTGACCCCCGGAACTTACTCCAGGTAAACTCCAGGTGAGTGTGAGTTGGACCTGACTAGCTTGTGCTACTAGGTCAGATGCCGTGCTCCTCCATTAAGTGACGTGTCTCACCTGACTAGGTCAAGGCATTGGCTTAAACCGGTGGGAGAATTGGACCTGCCTCACATAGGCCAGTAGGGCTGTTGTAGTGTTCCTTCTTATGTTCTTAACCTAAAATCAAGGCAAAGCTTCCTTTGAGAAAAACACATTAACATGAAAAGTTTAAAGCCGACCTGAAGAGATGTTCTATAGTTATTGGACACAATCCAGCAAAATGTGCGTCTACACAACCTACAACTAAGAAAGGTTTAATCTGTTTCACAATGTGAATTAGTAAGTAAAGTTTGATACTATTCACAGTTTTATGTTGTTGGGGAGGTGGGGGGAGGAAGCGCTAAACAAATAAGTCATGTAGCGCATGTGGAAATAAGAGGTATTCTGACTCGATCCAAGGAAGGTGAGGACAAATCCAGTTCCTTAGATCAAGAACCTCTCATAAGTTTCAAGGCTAAATGATTCATTAATATAAAAACATATCATTTCGAGATTAAAAGTGGCAAAATGGCACCAACTCCCTCCATTAAACAATACCATCTTTCTTCTAAATAGAATACACCACTGTTGAAAGTTTGAAGCCGATCAGAGGAGGTGTTCTGCAGTTATCAGAGGGAAACACTGACCAGTGTAACACTGTCCACAGGTCACTCAGGTAAGCAGTCCCATCAACACTGTCCTGGACACACTAAACTAAAACTGACAATGTAAAGCTGATCGAAAAAGATGTCCTCGAATTATAAATACAAATTTTGAATTATTATTATTATAATCAAGGGGGAAGCGCTAAACCCGGAGGATTATACAGCGCCTGGGAGGGGGGGATGTGGAAGGCATTCAGGCTTAATTCGGGGAACTGGAGCACAGATCCAATTCCCTAAATCAAGAGCCCCTCACCAACATCAAAGAACCTTCCTTGAGGGGTACAAATTTTGAAGAAAGAAAAAAAAAATATTGAGAATGTCCATAAAATAGGAAACTCTATTCTCGGTTAGCTTAATAATGCAAACTTATTTTGTTTTCAGTTTCTTGTCATTATTTATATTATAATTAAATTTCTGTACAATCCTGTGAAAAAAATATGATTTTTCCTAAGAAATTCTAATTTGGTAAAATTAATTTTAACAAATTTGGCAACTTGGGTCTAACATGTCCTAAAATCAACAAAAAATATTTCAGATTAAGATACACAGCAATTTTTATGATTTAAAGTCAACTAGAAGAGTAATTCTCTAGTTATTACATGGTAAAATTTTACTTAATAATAATAAATTGAAACTGACAGTTTAAAGGGAATAGTAAGCCCATCTATGGTGAAAGTTTGAAGCCTATCAGAAAAGTAATTCTCCAGTAATTCAGCTGATTTTAACGATTCCAAATCTTCTAATAATTTCAGTAAAATTTCCGATTTGCAGCTACTCAGACTAAACTTAATCATAATCCTTCTTATAGATATCATCAGTTGTTAAATGTAAATGAATATCACTATTTAATATAATTGGCAAATTGAAATTTATAGGCAAACCTCGCGTTTAGAAAACAACAAGTGGTGAAAATTTGAAACCGACCAGATGAGTCATTCTTCAGTTATGATACGAGTTCAAATGATTCCAGTTTTTTTTATATAGTTATTTTACTATATAGACAAATATGGCGGGACACAAAGAAACATTAATGGCTGTAAAATGCATCACAGTTCAGAAGAGGTAAACTGAAATGAATTTAACGGGATTTAACGTCAACCAAAATCTAACACAATGTTGCACCTGAAATAGTCAAATTTGGACAATTAAATTTCACTCAGTACCATCGTCGACTTAAGAGGCAACACTGTGAACGACTGAAGCTGCTTCAATGAGTGTTTGAAGTTACCTGAGTCATTCCATCATGCTGGGGATGTGTACCACAACATTGTTCATAGGACACCTGCACATGCTATTTCAAGTAACTGGCTCTAGTTTCTGCACCACCATGATATTTATAATAAACTTGGAGTTGGTGATTTGACAGAAACTGTAACATTAGCAGAGATTCTCTCGATAGAGCCGTTGATTTTCACTTGCTGTGGGTATATTATCAAACAGTTTGGATTAATGTATCAATGCACCAAATAAACTAAGCCTTAAAAAATATGGAATAAAAGAGAAGTTAAGGAAGCTCAAAACCGATTCTGATATCATTGGATCCTTTCTCAGGAAGTTTCCTTTAATTAAATCATCTGTTGTTCTTCTCAAAAGCAGTGAAAAATTTAGCTTGTGTTCGATTATTCACGTTTATATTTCTCTCAGGATTTAATTATTCTTGACTGGGAGATGTATAAGTAAATTGCAGCCTAATGACCCTCGTACAACTGACAGACTTTACATGTAACAGTCTTACAAAAATACTTTATGCTACAGAGTTTGTAAAGCCATCGAGGTGATGCAAGTAACAGCAGTGATAACATACACCGATATCTATGGCAATATTAGCGTTATCTATCTTGTCGGATAAGATAAGTTTTGGCCTTAGATACAAGTGGATGTGGGTAGTCTAGGTGTATCTTGCAGCATACGACGTGATAGATCGTATTCGTGGTCACATTAAGACATCTTGTGAGCAACTTGCGACAACTCTGAGAATGTTTACAGTACCTACCTCTTCAGGGAGTGAGTTTTGATAGTGGAGAAGAGTTCTTGATCCTCGAAACAGGAGCAGCTCTTCCCATCCTCTGATCAAACTTGGTTGCATCTCATTTCCCAGGTGCTGTATTAAAGTTACGGGTTTAGCTCTTCTACATAGTAAGTTTATTGATCTACAGCTACACATAAATACAGTTACATATATTATCACCCATAGTGCATATGTAAGATTATCTAGGTACCCAAAACAAGTGACTTATTGCGGGGGTTTTATTTTCCTAAATTTTAAATATAATAATAGAACTACCAAGCGAATAGAGTGCCTTCTGGAGTACCTGGAGTTATTCCGGGGATCAACGCCCCGCGGGCCGTCCATGACGAGCCTCCCGTGGATGGGGCCTGATCAAAGGGCTGTTATGCTGGCCGCACGCAGTCCAACGTACGGGCCACACCCCCGGGCTGATCCGACTGCTTTAGTACTGTCCAGCCTCTCTTGAGGTGACAAGAACCCTGGGGTTTATTGGAAATTCCTATATGTTTAAATAGGGAGGCTGTTAAACCCAGTCTTGGCCCGGACATTATGGGTTTTCCTTAGTTTTAAAGGGGGTTTTTTACTTCTATTAGGGGCCCATTTTGATCGCCTGCCCGTCTTTACTTTCTAGGGAGTAAATTTCTGTGCGTTTTGGGGGCCATTCTTCCCAAAGATTTTCAAGGTTGAATTATGATATATCTCTCCCCCCTGCGTTCCAACGAGAAACAAGTCAAGTGTTTCCCAAAGCTTTTCCCTAGTAGTTAAGGTGCTTGACAGAACTTTTTACGTGCAGTAAAGGATCTCTGTACACTCTCTAGATCTGCGATTTCACCTGCTTTGAATGGGAATGTTAATGTACAGCAGTATTCCAGCCTAGAGAGAACAAGTGATTTGAAAAGGATCATCATTGGCTTGGCATCTCTCGTTTTGAACGTTCTCATTATCCACCCTATCATTTTCTTTGCACTTGCGATCGTGGCATGTTGTGATCGTTGAAAGTGAGATCCTCAGTCATTACTACTCCCAGGTCCCTTACATTATTTTTCCGCTCTATTGTATGGCCAGAGTCTGTAGTTTTCTCTGTTCTAGTTATTATCTCCTCCAGTTTTCCATAACGGATAGTTGGATTTGGTCCTTATTGACATCGTATTTTTACCGTTGCCCACTGGAAAACTTTGTTTATATTTCTTGGAGGTTAACCGCGTCCTCAGCAGATGACAGCCTCATGCAATTCTAGTATCATCCGCAAAGGATGATACGGTGCTGGTGATGTATATCCTCTGTCTATGTCTGATATGGAGGATAAGGAATAAGATGGGGGCGAGTACTGTGCCTTGTGGAACAGAGCTCTTCACTATGGCAGCCTCCGATTTAACTCTGTTGACCACTACTCTTCGTGTTCGATTTGTTAGGAAGTTGAAAAACCTCTCCCCACTTTCCCATTTTATTCCTTTAGCACGTTTTTATGGGCTATTACACCATGATCGCTTTTTGTCAAATGCTTTTGCAAAGTCTGTGTATATTCATCGCTTTTCTGATTTTCTTCCAGTGCTTTCCAAGGCCAATCATAGTGATCCAGTAGTTGTGAGAGGCAGGAGCGACCTGCCCTGAACCCATGTTGCCCTGGATTGTGCAGTTTTTGGGAAAATCCAGGTGATTTGCAATCCTGCTTCTTAGCACTCTTTCAAAGATTTTTATGATGTGGGACGTCAGAGCTATTGGTCTATAGTTCTTAGCTAATGCTTTGCTGCCACCTTTATGGATTTGGGGCTTATCCGTTGTTTTAAGTGACTGTGGAATTTCACCCATGTTCAAGCTCCTCCTCCATAGTGTACTTAGGCACACGAGGGGGGGTTTCTTGCAGTTCTTAATGAAAGCAGAGTTCCACGAGTCTGGGCCCGGGCTGAGTGCATGGGCATGTTGTCAAGGTTTTTTTCGAAATCTATCGGATTAGGGTAATGTCGGAAATCTGGCTACATTATGGAGTTTTGAGGCTCATTCATAAAGAAATCATTTGGGTCGTCGATCCTCAGACTGATTAGGGGTTTTCACTAAACACAGAGTCATACTGGGATTTCAATATTTCACTCATTTCCTTGTCATCTGTGTAAGTCCCATCCTGTCTGAGTAAGGGCTCGATACTAGATGTGGTATTTGCCTTGTTTTTGGCATACGAAAAGAAATATTTTGAATTTCTTTCAATTTCACTAATAGCTTTAAGCTCCTCCTGTCTCTCCTGGTTCCTGTAAGGGTCATTTAACTTAAGTTCGATAGTTTCCACTTCCCTGGTCAGCGCCTCCTTTCGTGTATCAGATATTCTAGCACTCCTGAGGATCTCAGTGACTCTTCGTCGTCTTCTGTAGAGGGAGCGTCTTTCTCTCTCCAGTTTACTCATGCTCTACTTCTTTCTTAAGGGAATATGCCTAGAACATGCTTCAGCTGCCAGGAAGTTGATCCTTTCAAGGCACTGGTTTGGATCCATGCCATTTAAGACATCTTCCCAACATGTTTCGTTTAAGACATGGTTTACCTGGTCCCAGTTGATGTTCTTGTTGTTGAGGTTGTATTTTGTGAAGACACCTTCACAGGTACATGCATTCTGCTGATCAGGACCCCTATGCATGTATGTCTGGACTTCGATTAGGTTGTGATCGGAATTTGTTGTTGATATTCTTACGTCTCTTATCAGGTCCTCATTATTTGTGAAGATAAAGTCAAGTGTGTTTTCTAGTCTTGTTGGCTCCACTATCTGCTGGCTTAAGGTGTGTTTTTAGCAGAGACTTAGTAGCTGATGTGTGTGTGACCTTTCATCTGCACTACCTCCAGGGATTGTTTCAGCTATAACATTATTTGCTACATTCTTCCATTTTGTATGCCTTAGGTTGAAATCACCAAGCAGTAAGATGTTTGGGGATGGAGCTGGAAGGTTTTCCAAACAGTAATCAATTTTCAGTAGCTGTTCCTTGAACTGTTGTGAGGTTGCATCTGGTGGCTTATATACAACCACAATGACCAGGTTTTGGCTCTCGATCTTTATTGACAGAACTTCAACTACCTCATTTGTGGTGTTCAGCAACTCCGTGCAGATGAGGGATCTTTGACATACGGGCCAACCCACCTTGTTGCCTGTTCTTTCTGTCGCATCTAAAAAGGTTGTAACCACTTATCCATATTTCACTGTCAAAGTGATCTTTTGTATGAGTCTCTGTGAAGGCTGCAAACATTGCATTAGACTCCTCTAGAAGTCCACTGATAAAAGGTATTTTGTTGTTGGTGGATGGTTTAAGGCCCTGTAATTAGCAAATATGAACGAGGTTGTATTCTGTGTTATTTGGGGGATTTTGTTACTGGCATCAGTAGTTTGTAATTCTGGAGGGCCATGGGTGGCCACTGGCGCACCTCCAGTCCAACAAGGCTCCAAGGTGGACTATTTTTGTTATTCCTTCCATTTTTTTTCCGTTTCCTGCCACTAAAAAATCACCTGGATTTGGGTTGTAGCTGCTATTGTTTGTTTTTGTGGGGCCCTGTGCCCCCTGGTCCCTTTTAGATGGTATGCAGGGCAGTCGATGTTGAAACATGCTTCTGGAGGCCCGAGGAGTGACACATTTTGGGTGAAAGAAAGTCAGGGAAGGAAGAAGAACGACACACTCTTTAGACAGGAGGTCGCTACAATTTTGGGATGCTCAAAGTTGCATGCCCCATTTTTTTTCCTGATATTCCATGCTTAAGTTTGCCCCAAGCATAATATTTGCACAAATTCACCTTTGGTTGAGAATTGTTGGGGGGGTGTGTTGTCAATTTCTGCAGGTTCTGGGACTGCACTATAATCCTCAGTATCCAAGCCAGGGCCACCCTGTCCGGGATTCCATCTATTTTCCCCACAGAAGGAGGAGACTCCTCCCCAAAACATCTGTACTATGGGCCACGGTCTTGTGCAATGATGGTTGTATATTTACGGTTTTAGTGGTTGGTTATGGTAGGGTCCCTAGTAAGTCTGGGCTGGCAGTAAGGCTGGGGGCGGGTCTGAGTCAGTACTGGGGCTGGGGGCTGAGCCTGGGCCAGCGGCTGGGCCTGGGCCAGCACCAGCACTGTGGTATTAGTGCTATGACTGGGGGACCCTTTGGGCCAGCACCAGCACTGTGGGTATTAGTGCTATGACTGGGGGATGGGTCTGGCTTAGCATATGTGGGTGACTAGATAGTTTCGAGTCATCTGTTGGGGTTTTTGGGCATTCTGCATTTTTTTTTATACACTATCTCTTGCTCCCATGTTTTATATATTTTTGGTAGACTATCCAAGAGGTCATCCTTGTTTTCTTGATTATTTTTATCATTTATTACTCTCCTTAGTACCTGTCTGATACCTGCCCAAAGTTCTAAATCTTTATTGCACAACCAGAAGCACCTTGCTAGTTCGAGGTCATTTTTTGAGGCTGTATTTAGTCTAGTACAAGAGATATGGCGTTTGGAAGAGCATAGGTTGCATGTGATTCTGGATTTCCTTCCAAGGATTTTTTTACATGTCCCACAGATATGCTGTGCTGACATCCTGTCTGTATCCTACTACACTCTGTATGCCTTTCTCTTGCTGGTGCCAGTAATATGCAAGATGTATTTATACGAACCAAGTTTGCAGTATGTGGGTGGTGGTGTAGGGTGGGTGGTGGGTGTAGAGTGGGTGTGAGCCGGGCAGGACTTACCCACACTGCCACACTTCACTATTATTTTTATTATTATTATTATTGTTTAAATTCCTTTTATATAGTGCTGTACACTGTTTATCTCAAGGATATACACTGTATTCTTTCAAAATACACTTTTCCTGCGCTTTTACTGGGGTCATTGTTTATTATTTACATAGCAGCTAGGCCTATGCTAACTTTCCCCTACACTTCTATGGAAAAGTTTATTTCCTGTTTAGTAGAGGTAACGGTTGTATGCTCAATTTATGTATGCTGTGATTCCCTGCACCTCAATGCTACCACCACTCATTTTATCTCTTGTGACTATAGTAATTACTCATCAGTTATTAACACTTCACTGGACCTCTGGCAATAGTTCGCTAGTGCCAGTCACTTGTAAGATATTCCC